TTATTATTTATTTTTAAATTTAAAAAAAAAAATGGGGCTTTATTTGTTATATTTAAAGCTGGTTATTTATTTGTTTTTGTCTGTGTATATGTAACAGGTAGAAATTTGTAATCCTTATTGGTTATTTTATATAGTGATGTTTAATATTTAATATGCAGGGTGAGAGGGTAGTTTGATTAAATAACTTTTCACACACACACACACACACACACACACACACACACACACACACACATATATATATATATATATATTAATTGATTTCAAATATGGTTTGTTTTCGCTACACAGTTCTAACCATGTTTCAAAAATAGAAGCTAAATGCTTCGAATTTAATTTTGTAATTAAATTGAAGACCTTAGTTCCCTTTCATCCTCCAAAATTCGCTTGAGGATGAAATGGAACTAATGTCTTTAATTTAATTACAAAATTAAATTCGAAGCTTTTAGCTTCCATTTTTGAAAAATGGCTAGTACTGTGTAGCGAAAAAAATATTTTAAATCAATTAATTTATGATATTAATGCTCTGTAAATTTACATTGAGCACTATTTTGTAAAAATAAAAATATCTATAAAAACACCGGATTATATATCTTACTGTTCTTTCTTTTATATATATATATATATATATATATATATATATATATATATATATATATATATATATATATGTGTGTGTGTGTGTGTGTGTGTGTTAGAGCCATTGGTGTTAAATTCAGTCCATCTAGGTGCTTATATATTCTTTACTATATTGCTCGTACGTTTTCCACTAACCTGAAGTGTAATAGTTTGTATTGAATCGATTTTTACGTCTGCTAATGGAAAATCGGTTCAATGGGTCGTGTCAGGCAGATTTATTCTCGCCAGAATCTATCTTTCCGTCTTCCATTAGCCCGTGCATCGAATATTGCTGCCCTAACTGGACTGGTGCTTTTGTTTCATATCTATAGATTCTTGACAAAATCCAAACAAGAAAATGCTATGTTATAGCACACTTAACACATACAGATCCCCTTTCCAGAAACCAATAAAAATGTCAAAATGACCAAGGAAGTTCAGAGTAGCATCAATCTATTCAGCTTCTATCTTAAATAACAACTTAAAAGTGACAGTTTGACCAACACAAGGACTAACCAAAATCTATGACAAAAAATTTAAAAAAAAACGAATGAAAACTAAAGATAAAGTTCATTTTCTTCATCAAGTCATTCATTCCTGCTACTAACAAGTAGAATTTCTTTTCTCCTGATGATGGCCCTGCTGGCCGAAACTAGTCGAGGAATCTAATTGAAATAATAAAACAATTCATATTGATATACAACCCAGTGTGTCTGAAAATTTTAATTTTTTAAGTTCCCAATATTTTTATTGTACAAAACAAGCACACATACACACACACATATATATATATATATATATATATATATATATATACATATTAAAGACATTTTTATGTTTAACGTTCTTTTTTATAGATACAAGTATTTAAGTAAATGCTCTGTTTATAATAAACAGTATTAAATAACATTTACCAACAGAGCATTTACTTAAATACTTGTATCTATAAAAAAAAGAACGTTAAACATAAAATGTCTTTAATATATAAATTGTCGGACTTTGTTTCTTAATATATATATATATATATATATATATATATATATATATATATATATATATATATATGTATGTAGCATTATCTCCATTCAAAAATGTTTTCAGATCTGTATGTAAGGAAATCTAGGAGCATATCTGAATGCTACCACATCCGATGACCAGATACCAAAATGTCTATGTCTGACTAATTTTTGTTTATATATATATATATATATATATATATATATATATATATATATATATATATATATGTGTATGATATGGTTTATCGTACTTAAAACGTACGTTCATTTTGTCTCTTCGATAAATATTTACACAATAATTCTTCTGGGGAGCTTTCCTCGTTGTTACCTCGTCTTGACGAATTTAAGCGAATTATTAGATTGGCAGCTATTTCTATGATGAGAGTTCCTTCTCTCACACTTGTCGCTTGTAGGGTTCTCTTCCGGTTTTTCGCTTTCCTGTCAACTACGAAGTTCACAAATGTAAATGCAATTGTCAGGCGCCATCTTTTCTCACATTCAAATCTGTCCATCTATTGTCTTCTCCGTTTCTTTCAGTCTCAATAGCTCCTTGCATACCAAAGGCTTTTATTTGATCAAGTGAAATGATTAAAATAATGCATGTGAAGAAAATATTTACACTAATATATGTCAATGGCGATCGACATTTTGGCCACCAACCGAATCAAATATCTGTCACCTTATATCAAATCGATATAATTATCATAACACACTCAAACCGGGTGTAACATTAAAATTGTCCAAATCGTGTAAAAGCATGGGATAATTGTTCATCCCACAAAATGTTTAATATCTAAAACCAAAAAAACAAAAAAAAAAAACGCTAAACTAATTGAGTTTCTGTTTACCAGATTTTCCGATAAGACATTTCGCCATCTTGATACCATTTCTTGTAAGAATCGATGAAAACCCCTTCAGTTCTTCAGCTAGAAAGAGAACAGCTTAAAATCATTTTCGTGTCATCCCCACTGTGTCTTCCCAACTGAGCAATGGCGAGAGGAAAAAGATTATTCAGGCCATTCGGGTAATGGTGCCAAAATTTATACTCTAGCTTCTATCTTTCAAGAACTATCATGAGAACGTCGAATAAGTTTTAAAAGGAGCGAACAGCAGAGAGGAAACCTGAGTCAGTAGGTCACCACAGGACGAGGGATCATCATTTCAACCTAGAGGTAAAAAACATACTTCAAAATAGAGTCCAAAAATGTTATAAAACCTCAGAAAATTCCAGTAAGATATCTGTTGGGGCCTTGTTAGGGCCTAGAAATAAAAGACGCAAGAGAGGAATGGAGTTAAATAAATATATTAACAGAAACAGTAATACAAACATATACAAACGAGAGTGTTACAGCAAGAACGTTCAGTCTGGCTGTCAGAGCTGACTGCTGGAAACTTCCCCCTCCAAAAGGCAGTACCTGCTCCTATTTATAGTTGGGAGAGTCCATGCGTGCGTGGGTAAATTACCATCAGAATATCTTTAATTATTTCTAAGATAGAACGGTTCAAAACTTAATCTAACAATTATACAATTTTAATGTTACACCCGGTTATCAGTATATATATATATATATATATATATATATATATATATATGTGTGTGTGTGTGTGTGTTATCAATATACTGAAAGTAACGTTATAAACACGACCCTTCCACCACAGCGATAGAGAAGCAGTGGGAGTAAAGTAGAGTAGCAGTAGTAGTAGTAAAAAGGAACAACAGAGACGTATCTTCCTCGCTCCGTGAAAATCGACAGCTGACGGTTTCAAATGCCAAGAAATTCTTGGAACAAGCAAAGACAAATAAGGCGAAACCAAAAAATAAACAAAAGAGACAATAACAAAGAGAACATTTTTGACACGCACACTACCATTATTGTAAATAACATCATGAAAAGAAAACTACGCATTCTTGTCATTAATTTCAAGACATGTCTCAAACTCGTATTGTTGTTATCATTGTACGTTTTATTTTCAGTAATAGAAAGAGAAAAAGAATCCTCTATCAACTAAAAAATACATGTAACAACGGGGTAACTTACATTAACAACGCCACTCACCAAACCCGTTATAATATTAAATATCGGGATGATTCATGGCAGTTCAGCTTTCTTTTCTTTATTTTCATGCCGTTTAATACATTGCTTAGTTTTTGCAAGGCATCTTACGGTTTTCAAATACACGTTTGGATTTCGGTGTCTGATCTTCTGTCATCTGTTAAAGCAGACCCCACTCAATAGAAGTTTCTCTTTAAGTTTTGAAGCATGTTAAAACTAACATTTTAATATTTATTGGCGGCGGTTAATTTTAAATTCCATTAATAAAATATCATGATTTTACAGTGAGGGTTCTCATATTGCTTATAAATTATTACAAGATTAAAATTTCCTCGATCGGAAGCAGAAGTTGACAGACGAGAAAATGAAAAGCGCGCGCCATTCAGTCAGCTATGCCATTCGCTAAGAAATTCAATGGATTTTATAAAGGAGAGGATGTTAAAAAAAATGTTGTTGTGTATATAATCTTGGTAAAGAGGATTTTACAAGTAGGGACGTAGAAAACGCTAAGGTTTCCTTTTCTTTGTAATTCTCAGATTGGACGTTATTGTCAGTCTTGTTCGTATTTGTAAATTCTTCTTTATTTAAATGGTATAAATAGCCATTTTCTTTGTCCCGTCCTGTAGAAGCATATTTTTCTTTTCTTCTTCTCGTCTATTCTGCTTTTATTCTTTACATTTGTTCAATGATTGGCTTCTTTTTTTTTCTAACACTCGATAAATCCATTAATTATTAGACCTTCTCATTAAACTAGAATCCTTTTCAGTTTTCCCGCTAAAATTAACCCGCCATTTTATTTTTATTATCAACTGGCTTCTTCTGTTTCGTTTCTTTGACTTTATTACTACTATTATTATTATTATTATTATTATTATTATTATTATTATTATTGTTGTTGTTGTAATTTATTTGTTGTAATTATTTTGTTTCTTTTGTTTTCTTCATTGCTGTCTATTTCCTTTAAATTTCAGAAAACTTTTTTTTTTTCGAATACTTTTGCCAGTGTTCTTATTTCATTAATTTCATGAAGTCATGTTTGAATTTAATTTTTTTTTTACATCGTCTATTGAATTCGACTTTTAATTATTTATTTTTTGTTTATTTAAATTGTGTTTCGGGAAGCTTTTGTGTAATACTGCAGCGACAAATCTAAAATTACACTGACCAATAGAGAAAAAAAAAGATAGATAGATAGATAGATGCAGAATGAGATATATATATATATATATATATATATATATATATATATATATATATATATATATATAGATAGATAGATAGATAGATGCAGAATGAGATAGATAGATACATGCAGAATGAGATAGATAGATAGATAGATAGATAGATAGATAGATGCAGAATGAGATAGATAGATAGATAGAAGCAGAATGAGATAGATAGATAGATAGAAGCAGAATGAGATAGATAGATAGATAGATAGATAAAGGAATGTGATTGACACGGAACAGGATGACATAGATAGATAGATAGATAGATATGAACAAAATTAGAGATATGAACATAGATTGATAGATATAAACAGAATTAACTAGGTATGAACTGAATTAGATAGATAGATAGATAGATAGATAGATAGATAGATAGATATGAATAAAATTAGAGATATGAACATAGATAGATAGATATAAACAGAATTAAATAGGTATGAACTGAATTAGATAGATAGATAGATAGATAGATAGATAGATAGATAGATAGATAGATAGATAGATAGATAGATAGATAGTGAAAGAGAGAGAGAGAGAGAAGCAAAACAAAAAAAAAAAATGAAGAGAAGGAATGGAAGGATTATAGACCAGAGAGGGATAGAGCAAAGGAATGAGAAGAAAGAATATGGGAGGCAACAGAAAGAAAGAAAGAAAGAAAGAAAGAAAGAAAGAAAGAAAATCTCGAAACAGGAGAAAAGAAAAATAGAAAAGAAGTGAAAAAGAAAAGTAGCGAAGAGACACAGACGAGAAAGGAAAGCAGAAAATTGGGAAAATTCTAAAGAATGCTTGAGTATAAACCTTTGAGACATATTTAAGGAATAAAGAAAAAATGGAAGAAAGCAGCAAGAAGAATAAAGAAAGAAGAGGAGAACGCGAAAGAAAGAAAAAGAAAGAAAGAAAAAGAAAGAAGGAAAGAGAGAAAGAGGGAGAGTAAAAAGAAAGAATTAATAAGATAACGATTAGTGCGAAAAGGAGACGAAACAAACTGAGGTGAAAAGAAAAAAAACATGGAGATAAAGGAAAGAAAAAAGAAGAGCAAAAAAGCAATGCTAAAAAGAAAGAAAGAAAGAAAGAATGAAACTGAAGGAGTAAGGAATAGAGAGGGAGAGAGAAGAAAGTGATAAGATAGAGGAAAGAACTGAAAGAAAAATGAAAGAAATAGAGAAGGAAACGAAGAAAAAGAGGGGAAAAAAGATAAAACTGGATGGAAAGAATAAAAGAGAGAGAAAGATAGACTGAACACAGAATAGAATGAATGAAAAACGAAGGAAAGAGAGAGAGAGAGAGAAAGAAGAAGAGAAGAAAAGAAAAAGAAAGTACCAACGAAAGAAGGATTAATGTAAAACGGAAATGGAAAAGAAACATGGCGAAAAAAAGAAAGAAAGAAATAAAAAAGTAAAGAATGAAACAAAAGGACGGAGATAAAAAAAAAGGGGTGGAGAGAGAGAGAGGAGGAGAAAGAGAGGGGCGGGGGGAGAAAGAGGGGAGAAAAGAGAGGAGGGAGAGGGGAGAAAGAGAGAGGGAGGGGAGAAAGAGAGGGAGGGGAGGGGGTGACAGAGAGAGGAAGGGGAAAAGAGAGAGGGAGAGGGGAGAAAGAGAGGGAGGGAGGGAGAGGGGGAGAAAGAGAGGGAGGGAGAAAGAGAGGGAGGGGAGAAAGAGAGGGAGGGAGAGGGTGAGAAAGAGAGAGGGAGGGGGAGAAAGAGAGAGAGGGAGAGGGAGAAAGAGGAAGGGAGAGGGGAGAAAAAGAGAGGGGGAGAAAGAGAGGGAGGAGAGGGGAGAAAAGAGAGAGGGAGGGGGAGAAAGAGAAAGGGGAGAAAGAGAGGGGGAGAAAGAGAGAGAGGGGAAAGAGAAAAGTAAGCGAAAAAAGTAATTGAAAAAAAAAAATGAAAGAAAGTCGATAAGCAGAATAGAAAATAAAAGAGACGGAGAATGGAAAGGAGACAGAAATATAAAAGACAGAGTGAGAACGAAGCTAAGACTGGATGCGAAGAATGAGAGAGAATGAGAGAGAGAGAGAAAGATAGAACGAAAGCAGGAAATGAAAAATGAAAGGAAGTGAAGGAAAGTATAAAGGAAAAAAAGAAAGAATCATCGAAAAAAGAATTGATGTGAAAAGGAGAGTGGAAAGAGAGAGAGAGAGAGAGATAATGAAAGAATGAAACTGAAGGAGAGAGAAAGAGAGAATAAAGCGACATAGGATAGAAATGAAAAAAAGATGAAAGAAAGTCGATAAGCCGAATAAAAAAATGAAAGAAATAGAGAATGAAAAGAAGAAAGAAATATAAAAGACAGACATACAGGCAGAGAGAGAGAGAGAGAGAGAGAGAGAGAGAGAGATAGAAGATAAGGCTGGAAAAATTGAAAGAATGAAAGAGAGAGAGAGAGGCAGACTGCACACAGAATAGAATGAATGAAAAACGAAAGAAAGAGAGAGCGAGAAAGAAGAAGAGAAGAAAAGAAAAAGAAAGTACCAACGAAAGAAGGATTAATGTAAAACGGAAATGGAAAAGAAACATGGCGAAAAAATAAAGAAAAAAGTAAAAAATGAAACAAAAGGACGGAGATAAGAAGGGTAGAGAGAGAGGGGAGAGGGGGAGAAAGAGAGAGGGGGAGAAAGAGAGAGGGGGGAGAAAGAGAGGGAGGGGGAGGGAGAGGGGGAGAAAGAGAGGGAGGGAGAGGGTGACAGAAAGAGAAAAGTAAGCGAAAAAGTAATTGAAAAAAAAAATGAAAGAAAGTCGATAAGCGAATAGAAAATGAAAGAAATAGAGAATGAAAAATAAATATCAAAGACAGACAGACAGACAGACAGAGAGAGAGAGAGAGAGAGAAAATAAGGCTGGAAGAATTGAAAGAATGAAAGAGAGAGACAGATATAATGAATGCAGGAAAAGAAAGAATGAAACCAAAGAAGGGGAGGAGAGAGAAAGAGAGAGACATAGAGAGGGGAGAAAGAGAGGGAGGGAGAGGGGGAGAAAAAGAGAGGGGGAGAAAAGAGAGGGGAGAAAGTCAGAGAGGGAAGGGGGAGAAAGAGAGAGAGAGGAGGGAGGGGGAGAAAGGGAAAAAAAGAAGGAAATGATTTTTTTTAAAAAATGAATGAAAATCGTTAAGCAGAATAGAGAATGAAAATAAGAAAGAAATGTAAAAGACAAAGAAAAGAATAGAGAGAGAGAGAGAAAGAAAATAATGATCGAAGAATGGAAAGAATGAAAGAGAGAGACAAATAGAAAGAATGCAGGAAAAAGAAAGAATGAAATCAAAGAAGGGAAAAAGAGAGATAGAGAGAAGTATGCGAAAAATGAACGAAAGTAATGAAAAAAAATGAATGAAAGTTAATAAGTAGAAAAGAAAATGGAAGAAACAGAGAATGAAATGAAGAAAGAAATCTAAAAGACAAAGAAAAGAAAAGAGAAAGAAAAAGAGAGAGAGAAAGAAGATAAAGTTCGATGAATGGAAAGAATGAAAGAAAGAGAGAGAGACAGATAGAACAAATGAAGGAAACAGAGAAAGAAAGAAGGAAGTATGAAAAATAGAGCCAAAGAAATAGTAAAAAGAAAGAAAATATTAAAAAAAAAAACGAGAAAGATGGCGGCGATGAAAAGAAAGAAAATGACGTACAGAAAAGGAGAGAAAGCTAAGAAAAAGAAAAAAATGAATGAAAGTCGATAAGTAGAAAAGAAAATGGAAGAAACAGAGAATGAAATGAAGAAAGAAATCTAAAAGACAAAGAAAAGAAAAGAGAAAGAAAAAGAGAGAGAAAGAAAAGATAAAGTTCGAAGAATGGAAAGAATGAAAGGGAGAGACAGATAGAACAAATGAATGAAACAGAGAAAGAAAGAAGGAAGTATGAAAAATAGAGCCAAAGAAATAGTAAAAAGAAGGAAAATATTTAAAAAAACCGAGAAAGATGGCGGCGATGAAAAGAAAGAAAATGACGTACAGAAAAGGAGAGAAAGCTAAGAAAAAGAAAAAAAGAAAAAAATGAATGAAAGTCGATAAGTAGAAAAGAAAATGGAAGAAACAGAATGAAATGAAGAAAGAAATCTAAAAGACAAAAGAAAGGAAGAGAGAAAGAAAGAGAGAGAGAAAGAAAGAAGATAAAGTTCGATGAATGGAAAGAATGAAAGAAAAGAGAGAGACAGATAGAACAAATGAAGGAAACAGAGAAAGAAAGAAGGAAGTATGAAAAATAGAGCCAAAGAAATAATAAAAAGAAAGAAAAAAAAAAAAAAAAAACGCGAAAGATGGCGGCGATGAAAAGAAAGGAAAGGACGTACAGAAAAGAAGAGAAAGCTAAGAAAAAAAAAAAGAAAGAAAGGAAGGAAAGGGAATAAAAACTTGGACCGAGAACAACAGTGGATATTCATGAACGAAAAAAAGGGCGAAAAAAGTGCAGAAGGAAAAAAAAAATGGCAGATTCCAAATGGGAAGCCTTACAGCCATATCACGTTGAAATGCCTATTCTCGCGTGATCACTGAAGTTAAGCAACGTCGAGCCGAGATGTATGGCCGCTTGTGAATACCAGCCGCTCTAAGTTTGGATGCGCGGGTGGTGTAACGAAATAGGAAATCGGAGAGCCTAGTTCCACTACCATTGGAGTTTGTAATATTCACTTATGCGCAAATACCTTTGGGAAAAGGAAGAAGCCACCTCTTCCCCCCATCTATGGGTTAACTACTAGAACTTGTATAAGACATTATTAACTTCTCAAAATTTTTAGAATCGAAAATTTTTATGGCTTCAAATAATATACAAAATGTCGATAAGCCGTAAAAAACAAATCAATAAAAATGGAAACGAATAATAATAATAATAATAATTGTAATAATAATAATCATAGTAACAATAAAAAAAAATAATAATGAATAAAAAACGTGAAAGAGAAGTGGAAATGAAGAATAGAAAAACAGAGAAATAGATATGAACAGAATTAGATAGATAGGTAGATAGATATGAACAGACTGGTAGATAGATAGATGGATAGATAGATAGATAGATAGATAGATAGAAACCGAAGAGATAGATAGATAGATAGATAGATAGATAGATAGATAGATATGAACAAATTGTAATACATAAAAT